GGGGGGGGGCGCTTCCTGGCCCAGAATTCGCTTTGTAGACCAGGTTGGCCTTGAACTCACAAGAGCTCAGCCTGCCTCTGCCTCCCAAGTGCTGAGATTAAAGGCATGCTCCATCATGCCTGGCCTTCAAGCTCCCTTTCTAATCACTGATGTGCAACAGTCCAAGACCAGCACTAGACAGAGACACAGTATGAGCAGCACTGTTCAGATCACACAGGTAATTATTTATTAAGCCTGCCCTCACCTACACGATGAGAACAGCAAGTACTGCTCTGGACACTTCACAGAACAGTCTGCTGCTTTAAGGAGCCAAAGGTCAAAAACAGCAGAGATCAACTAATTAGGTACTTACTACTGAGGTATGCAGAAAGTCACTGGAAATAAAGCCACACATGAAAATAAAACAATACACTTTTATTTGTTCAGATGCTTATTTCTAAAGTTGGCTGAGGTTAAAAATGATTTATACTTCAATGAACTTGTTAACATTCAAAAGCTTAAAGTCTATATTAAGAATTTATAAAAATGAACCTGCAATCACTCTCTCCTGATATCTGAGTAACAATATGTACACTACACCATGACAGCTACTCTTTATCAGACTACAGATTTCCCAATGCCAGCAGGAAGTGCAGAAATAACGTTATGTTCCTTTTTTTAAGTCTAGATTTTAGTTCTACAATTCATAAATTCAAAATTATTTACACAAATTTAAAATTTTTTCTTATTCGTGTCTGTTAAAGTACTTTTCTCTATGAAATTTTACAATTCATGATCTTTTCTCTGAAACATAAAAAAGACATGGACCCTCCTGAGTTACATATGAAGCTTATATATTCTTTAAAAACATTAATGCTTTAAATATCACAAATAACATATCGATAATACATGTTTTTACTATCCACATCATTATTTAAGCAATATTCAAGTGTATTTGCGCTCTGTATGTTTACATTACTTTATAATTTATTTTTACCTTCCAATAAAACTTTACAAACATTCCTCAATTACTTAACAAATGAGAGAAAAACAGCCATTATGAAATAGAAACTGCTACTTCAGCATTTGCATCTTTCAGTCTCTGCATTTCCTATCAGCCAAGCAATCTCCTGTTCTTCAGGGCCACTGACAGATTGCTCCGTTGTGATCCAGCGCTGCTCAGCCTGTAGCACTGACCATCTGAACAGTGCTCACTCTGTCATACCAACTCCAACAGTGGATGCGGACAGCACTGGCATTCATCATTTCCAGTCATTTCAACTGCAGGACCACCTTAAAAGACAAATTGGAGAAATGATACCAGGTTATCCCAGAATGAGGCTGAGATGCACTACATGAAATGCTCCAGGACATCTACAGAGGGGTTTGAAGGAGGGTACAAAACAGCAACCTCTGGCACCTGCCTGCCTGGGTCTTTGCTTTAGGTCACAGGATATTCACCCCAGGCTCTGCCACACCCACTTCGCATAGGCAGGCTCACCCAAAGGCCAACCAGGCTTCAGCTACTAGTTTGGTCACTGGGCAGGAAGACCAATCATGAAGGCTAATGTACAATGTGAGAAACTACAGAGTATGGAATGTTGATGTTTATCAGGGTTATATTTTTTGGTGTTGGTGGTGTTTTGAGACAGGGTCTCTGTAGTCCCAGCTGGTCTGGAACTTACTCTATGAACCAGGCAGGCCTCAATCTCAGAGATCTTCCTGCCTCTGCCCTCAGAGTGCTGAGATTAAGGTGTTGGTGGGGGTAATTAAAGGGGCAGGAAAATCAGGAGATTGATAATGGCCAGGAAGGCTAGGAATAACTGACAGCCGTTCACTGAGACTTGACCTCTCAGAGAAAATGCTAACAATCAAGGAACAACACTGATAAGAATTATGGTGATTTCTTCTCACAGCACATTTCTACTGCTGAAACAGTATTTTTTCACATACAATGCACTAGGACTGATTACTGGTAGGTAGTCACTACTTTGTAAATATAAAGAATTTTTTAAGCATTCATTAATCCTACCCATCTCAACCTGACTTTGTCCTAACTGTAGTATATTTCATCTCCTACACTTAGAAGATTACAATTTTCTACTAGTTATCCACTCTAATACATTTCTTTTTTAGGAGCATAAATATTTTTAATTAGCAAAACTTCAGAATCAACTAATTTCATGATCTTAAGGTAAATTTTTTTTATTTTTAAACTTAATGAGCACTGAAACAAAACAAAACCAGAACTGTACTGCTATTATTTCGAAAATAACTACTTCATAAGTTATGCTCAAAATTCAGTAAACACCGAAAGTTATAATTAACAGTGTTTAAAACTAGAGGTCAGAACCTATCAACAGTTATTTTCTGTGCTTCATATAAAATAACAAAAAGAGAGGCATTAAAAGTGAGCCAAAGTTTTTCTTTTATTGCTCTAAGCCTATCAGTCAAAGCTGTAAGCACACAAGGTGATCAAATTAAAGCAAATACCTTATTAGCTGCTTCCAAGGAACTGATCAGATTCTGCAGCTCCTCTTTACTCATTTCAACAGAATATGGTTTTACATCACCATCTTCTTTTACATCCAGATGAAGGTTTAAAAGTGGCATTTGTAAAGTAGCAATCTTGTCACTAGCAAGTCCAAGCTATTTAAAGTGAGGGAGAGTAAGCAGGAAAATGCACCACATTAAACAAGCATCAGTTTGGTAACAGCATACCAGAAAAAAAAAGACAGTTTGCTGTCAAATACTGGAAAACTTAGATGAAATAACTTCAACCTGTGTCAAAATAAGACCTAGTCAAAGAACAGGAATAGAAAGGAAATAGATGAGAAAAGTAGTAGCAGTTTTGCGGCAAAAACAAGTGTCTAGATGTAATTTTGTCTAGCTAAGCAAGATACTCTGTTTTTTAGGATCGTAACAATTTTTTTTAATATAGAAACTCAGAAGTGCTCAATGTGTCCAATACAGCAAGAAACATAAGTTTTAAAGAAACGATATCAAGATGGCAGTTCATTTATAAAAATAACTAAAAATAGTCTTAGAAATTAAGAAATTTAATTATTGACCAGCAGCTATTAAACTCTTGATAAACATTTGTTTAAACACATCTTAAGTCTGATAGTCAAAACTAAACTAACTTTAATAAACAGAAAAGATTTCATAGTTGAAAACAGAATCTCTGAAAACCGTCCCCTACTTGAAGCACTGTATTTCTACCAACAAAATGTAAGACTGAATCAACATCTGTTAAGCTACAATTTGGTAAATCAAAACAACTAAGTATTTCTCATGCATGCTACTATTACTATCTCTCCCCTATCTTTCATACTTATTAAAACATTAGCTATTGGGGCTGAAGAAATAGCTCAGTGGTTAAGAGCATTGGCTGCTCTTGCAGGGGACAGGGGTTCGAGTCCCAGTATGCACATGGCAGCTAACAACTGTCTCTAACTCCAGTTCCGGGGATTCAACACCCTCTTCTGACCTCCAAGGGCACTGTACAACATGGGTGCACTTACATACATACAAGCAATACACTCATACACAAAAAATAAAAAAATAATAAAATACTTTCTAAAGAGCATTAATTATTTATATGGGAAAAACTTTACTTATATGATCACTAATTAATATGTTATTTTTTAATTTAGTCCAATAGAACAAGCTATAAAATAATTTTAAACTTTGATCTAGTCACCTATTTACTACACTTCTATTTCTGTGTCACCGTCAAATTTGATAAGCATAGAATTAACAATTTTAAAGACTGAGGCACAAGCAAAACCACAGACACCTCCTTGGCTACCATGACTCTGTTAGTGGTTATTACTCAGTTAGGAACCCGCTGAAGGTGCCATTTCCCCAATTTTTTTCCCTCTTAATCCACAAAATCAACACGAGGCACTTTATTGATCTAAGATTATGTTAAAGATCAAGAAACACAATATTTCTGGGTTTTATCCACTAGTTTGTACCTTACAAAGAACAGAAGGTTGGTCTGAAATTGTTCTTCGCGGCCCCTACTCATCATGACTCTCTTTTCACCATGTTTTGAAAACTGCCACTTTAATACCATAAATTTTCCTCCTTAGAAGCAAAATCACATTTATCAATTTTGAGAAAGCTATGGCCTCTTTAACACTCTAGTCAAGGTTATATGCTAAGCAGATATTTCTCCCCTACTTATAAGTGACAGGTCTAGTCAAATTCATTATCCAAGAACGTTACTACACATGGTTTAGATGCTTAAGAGTGCTCCTACGTCTACATTAATGCAAAACAAGTAATTTAAATGATTCTTGATATTACCCTGGAACAATGTAGTCTCAAAATAACAAATTTTAGGTACTTATTAATAAAAAGAAATATTTCTCTATATTCAACTGCAAAACACAATACCATATAAATTCAAAACTATATTCTTACCTTTAACTGCCAATCAAAATCCTGTAACTGTGCACAAGAAATATCAACTATTTCTCCTAACAGAGCCTGCTTGATTTCTTCTTTCCTACTTTTCAAGCATTTCATAATAGCTTCTTGATGAGATGACAGCTGACTCAACTGCTGAAGTATCTACGAAAATAAAATGGTTGGACAGTAAGTAAAAGAACCTTCTTGCTTAAAGTGTAAAAGCAGTTCCGGGCTTTTCCCAAACCTCTTAAAATTATAACAAAAGACAAAAGAATAAATACTTCACTAACTATGAAAGTAAGTTGGGAAGGGATAACCTGCAGACAGAGCTTAACAAATTCCTACAAGACAGAAAATAAAGAAAAAGGGCTGACAAAGAGAATACAAAAGCAGACAGAGCTACTACATTAACACATCAAACAACACAGCCTTTAAGCAAAGAATTAGAAGGATGACAAAGGGCCATTTATTCAACAGAAAGATATATAATCATAAATCATTGTGTGCCTAACTGCATAATAGCTTCAAAATACATAAAGCAGCAAAATTCTACCATTCTAAACAGAGAAACATATTCAGAGACATAGTTAACACAATTTTCAATAACTGACAGTGTCTCCCAATTGGCTAGTTCCCCCAATGGGCGGGGCCTGACACGGAGCTTGGACTACAAAGGGGCTGCTGGGAGCACACCGCAGCAGCTCAAGGACAGAATGGACTGACACTTGTGGACCTGGGGCGAGATCGCTGGCCCCTGAGGCATGAGCAAATGCTAGCGGGGACTGTGGTAGTCATGGCGCGTTCTGATATGGTGGGCTCGGAGCCACACTGTCAGAGGCATGTAACTAGGCACTGGGTTCTCATTCCTTTGTAAGTTAATAAATGCACATAAAATATATGGTTTGTCTGATAGCGCAGGAGACTCAGAGGGAATTCAGGTGACAAAACTGGCGTAGCCTGGCCCGATAAAGGAAATACAGCCCTGGGGATGTGGGTCTCAGAAAGCAGTGCTGTTCCTGTTGCCCCTGTGGCAGGTCAGCCGGGCTCTGAGTCCCAAACCCAGGAGAGAAGCCAATCAAAACCCATATGGTTAATGGGGTTAGGGATAGTCATATGGGCTATACAATGGATCATAAAATCTGTAACTAAAAAGAGGCCAGCCATGCAGAAGCATGGGCCACAGCTATGCTGTAAATGTGGGGATATGCTGTGTGTATGTGAAGATTTGGTAAAGGTTACTCAAAGGCTAGAAAATCTTTTACCTGCTCTGGACCCAAAGGGAGCCCCCAGAGAGAGCGGCCACTTTTAATGACAAAAGATGCACCCCAGGCAGGGAAAGCTGAAAAGGCTGCACCGGTAGACCAGGTGAGAGCTGGACAGAGAAAAAAAACACGGGACACTTTGACTTGTGTCAAGTCTAAGGACTCAGGAAAAGACAGATAATAGTAAAAAGGGAAAAAGCTAACTGTGCTGTAGCTAGAAAACATTCCATGCTAGAACTGTTAAAACTAGGAAAAACTTACAAGCAGGCAGAGAGCCCCTGTCCACGTGGCTTGTGAGAGTATGGGACATGGGAGCAAATGACGTCAGTCTAAGTCCTTCAGAAGCCTCACAGCTGAGTTATATAACCACCCATCTGTCCTTGCAATATAGGCTGTTCAACCTAGGCCAATGCAGGGGGGAGCAGTCCTTAATGGGGTGGCTGGTAGAAGGCATTAAAGATACATGGTTGTCACCAAGGAAGACTAACATGATTAGCAGGGGCTGGAGGACTATAAAGGAGGGCTAGGCATTACTGAGAGAACTAGGTATGAGAAAAGCAATATATGATGTCCAGTTCATTGGGCCAAATAAGACTGTGTTCACCAGAGATATGAAGGAAAGCCTAATTCAACTGGGACCTCAAGAATGGTATGGGGCTTTAATGGTTTTACTAAGCCCTTTGATGGGACAGGATCTTTGTAAATTGAAAGAGGCTTTGGCAAATCTAAATGATTCTGACCAGCATGTAAAACGTGTCTATAAAATAACAGAACATCCTGTAAGAGATATAAAAAAGACCAGACCAAAGAAATGTTCCACTTGGGTTACTCGAAGACAAATGTGGCAACACTTATATCAAGCACAAATCCCCAGAGAAAAAACTGATAGAAAACCAATTCGGTACTAAAGCATTTCTGGAAGGTTTTAAAACCAGAATAACAGTTTACAAAGGACATTCGAAGGATAACAACGGCACAGGGGGTGGTTAAGAATCCCTAAGGATTAAATAAGATGCATCTCTCTTCTGATAAAGGCTATACTAGGGGTGGAAGCAGGTTTTCCCACCAAGTTCTCCCCCAGCAACTTGGTGTGGTCAGTGGTAAGATGACAGATGTGTCTAGGCAGGAGGCAGACCCAGAGCCTCTCTGACTCAGGGAACCAACAAACGCAGCGGGGACAGGAGAAGCCCCCTGCCTCCTTAGCCCAGTGCAGAGTCAGGCAACTAGAGCCAACACCTGTAAGTGTATCAAGAATAAAAGAATCCAAAGGGATAACTAAAAATGGTAAAGAGCTAACCAAAGTAATGCCTCGTACCCATGCTATGGTACCCAACAAGGATCTATGGAGAAAACAGTTAATACGAATGAACAAAACCTTTCCATGCTGTGTGAGACCTTGTCTATGATAGATTTAATATATAATGTTAACGTTCCTTCCAGTGTTTTACAGATGTGAAACCCATTTGAAAGATACCTGAAGAAGCAAAGGCCAACTATGGCTGTAAGATTCTTGGGAGTTTTCTGTAGGTTGGGTAAGATGAGGAGTGACTCCCAAACTATACATAGGTGGGTTGCCCCCCTATGAGCTGTTGGTCAGAGAGAGAGCCTAGAGGTCCTCCAATTCACCAAAGCTATTGCCATTAATGTCGGTTGTACACTAGAAAGGTCGGTAAGGTCATATTGCTGAGGACACTGCATGTTGTGAGCGTGGGAGAAGAGGTGGAACTAAGCAAAAAAACTACGTGCCACTGGATGGATGACATTAATATTGATGCAGATGGTTGGGGAAGAAAGGATCCCCTATAATTCTATTTAACGATGGACCCTGCGTGCTGCACACTATGGACATGCCAACCAATACCTGCAGGTGCAATAATGGCTCAACCAACACACGTACAACTGACAAATTTCTAATTGGATAAGGCCCACTCCTAGGGGTGAAACACACATCTGGTGCTATAGACCAGGCCAACACCTCACGTTGAGATAGGCTACAGGCCCTAGTAGAGAAGCCATCATGAGTATATTTTTTAATGAGTAGAGTACACCTACTGGAATATCTTCTGGGCATTTGTATTTACATTCATGTTTGTTTAAATGTGTCTATTTCCTTCCATTTGTCTTTACAGTAGAAGAAACACCACTGAGATAGATCAGTGGCCACGGCCTAAAGATGACTAATGGGGAGGCCCAAGAAGCCCCTATCTTGCCATGATACGAGAGATGCCCTTCATCTATCACCCCCTCCAAGGCTCAGGGACTTCAGTGGAAGATGGATGGGAAGATTTTAAGAGCGGAGGAAAGGGGTGGAGTGTCTCCCAATTGGCTAGTTCCTCCAATGGGCAGGGCCTGGCGCAGAATGTGGACTACTAAGGGGCTGCTGGGAGCCATCTTGGAGAGAAGCCACAAGCCACCAGTAGCGCCCATGGTGTGGGGAACGCACAGCCAGCCACAACAGCTCAAGGACAAAGCAGCTCTTGTGGACCTGGGGCGAGATTGCTGGCCCGAGGCGTGAGTGAATGCTAGCGGGGACTATGGTAGTCGTGGTGTGATCTGATATGGCAGGCTCTGAGCCGTGCTGCTGGAGGCATGGGACTAGACACTGGGTTCTCATTCCTTTGTAAGTTAATACATGCACATAAAATATATGGTTTGTCTGACAGCACTGGAGACCCAGAGGGAATTTGGGCAACAGAAACTCACAAAAAGTATTAGTAAAGTTACAAAATGTAAAAACTGGGGCTGGAGAGATGGCTCAGAGGTTAAGAACACTGAATGTTCTTGCAGAAGACCCAGGTTTGAATCCCAGCACCTGTATGGCGGCTAACAACTGTCCGTAACTCCAGTTCCAGGGGATCCGACAGCCTCTTCTGTCCTCCGCGGGCATTTCACAACACAGGTGCACTTACCTACATGCAGGCAACACACGCATACACATAAAAATATAAAAATAATAAATAAAATTTTTTAAAATTAAAAAAAAAATTGTAAAAACTGGGACTAGAGAGATGGCTCAGTGGATTAAGAACACCGGCTGTTCCTGCAGAGGACCAGCACCCACGTGGTGGCTAACGACCATCCATAACTCCAGTTCCAGGGGATCCGACACCCTCTTCTGATCTCTGTGAGCACTGCACAACATGGGTACACTTATATACATGCAAGCAATATGGTCATACACATAAAAATAGTAGATTCAAAAATATTCAAATTGTAAAAACTTCCACTTAACCAAATGAACATATACATCACTGTCCCCAACAACTTTAAAATACACACAGGATTTTCAAATGCATACAGGTCGAGTCACCAAAATATATTACACACTCAGGCACTAAAACAAAACAAAACAAAAAAACCCCACAGGCACTCATCTTTAATCCCAGCTCTGGGAAGGCCAAAGTAGGAAGATCTGTGAGTCTGAGGCCAGCCTGGTCTACATTATGACTGAATTCCTTATCAATCCAAGCTACACAGTAAAATCATGTCATTTAAAAAAAAAAAAAAAAAAAAGAGGGGCTAGAGAGATGGCCCAGCTGCTTGTGCAGAGAACCCAGGTTCAAATTCCCAGCACCCACAGCAGTTAACAACTGCCTTAACTTCACTTCCAGGGGAATCCAATGCCCTCTCCTGACCTCCATGGGCACCACATGGCACAGGTGCACTTACATACATGCAGGCAATACACTCATACACAAAAAAAAAAATAAATAAAAATTTAAAAACACTTAGTATTGCTTATATTTTTGACAAACGTAATTAAATCAAAACTGTAATATAAAAAAAATTCCAAATTCAAGAATCAAGGAACCCAATACCAATCAAAGAAAGGCAGTCAATGGTGCATAAACTCTTTCAGAGAACAGAAATTGAAAAAAAAACAACTGCCAAATCCAGGACATAAGCCCACAATAAAATCTGACACCTGGACAAAAGTATTAAAGAAAGAAAATTCACAGGCTAGTATCTCTTAAATAGAGCTATAAAAATCCTAAGCAAAACACTGTGTCAATAAACCAGGATACACATGAGAAAAAGAGACAATACATCAAGACCAAGTTGGGTTTACAATGGCAATACAAGCTCCATTTAACATCCAAAAATGACCACGTGAACAAATCAAGGAAAAGACAATTTGGAAAAAAAGTTGATAAAATTTAATACCCACTGATGATAAAAAAATATCAGCAAAATTGGAAATACAAAAAACTTTTTAAATAATTAATGCCTATAAAATCACACAGCTAATAGACTAAATAGTTAAACAGTAAAGTCCCTGAGGTCAAAGAGTAAAAAAGATACCTAATTAAACTAAATGCCCA